TAACATTAGACTTTCTGCCCTTCGGCCGACTTTCCACTTGTGTTCTCCACGGTTGATATTCCCTCTAAATCTGTGGAGTAAACACAGGATACGTCATGTGATAATCTAATGTTTTCAGTGTTGTGGCAAATATTCAACGACAATTTTCAGAAAACAAATAGTGAAAATGGCTCGAGAGTGCTGCAGTCCCCCCCCCCCCATTCTGCTCATGCAAGTAGTGCCAGTAGAAGCTGATCCCAGTCTAAATTGCTTGTAATCTCATCCAACAGCAAAGCACTTTTTGAATGCAATGTTTACTGCCAACATTTCTCAATGCTCCAAATACAAAGTAACCGGGGACCTCTAACTGTATTTTAAATGCATAGTCGATGCTCAGAGAGGTTATTTAAGCATAAGCTCATTAAATACTAAACCAAAGTGGTGAACAGACGGCTACTGTGACACTGATGGAGATACTAAGATACTGATGCCTGATGAAGTGGACAAAATATGATGCTAATTGAAACCTACACAAATACAAGTACATTTTATATTTAGTGATTCACACTATTTTTGTTGTACAAGATAATCTAAGATATTTTTAGGTGGGCTGCAAGTCCGCAGGGTAAAAACAGGTAACATGTTAAAGGTTTTTGATATCTGAACTAGCAGATGAGCATGTTTATGGGTTATTAAAAAAAAAACTGTGGCATTAGTAAAAAAAAAAAAAAAGAAAAGGGCATGTCAAATAATTCTAACGTTTGTTGACCACATAAGTCAATATACAGTATATGTCAAGAATAAGGAATTGCACACCAATTCAAATCCTAATTTCTTAGCAGATCCAGGCCTGCATTGTTCCTGTGCAGGTGTTTCTCTTGACATGCGTTTCAAAAGCTTCGTTTGCGCACACAGTGACGTGCAGACAACTGCATCACTCCTTCCAAATGAGTCACCAATTACAACTTCAATGAAGTGATTCCACCTCAGCAAAAGTGTCATATGATCATGACGTTAATCAAGACTTTGCCGAATTGACTTTTTTTTCCATTTGAGTTTTTTGAGCAGCTAAAACACATGCAGACCAAGAGCCTTTTTTCTTTTGCCGCAGTATGTGAACAAAAGGTGAGACGTATCCTTTACAACAGATGCTCATTCATTCATGCGTCTGGTGAACACCGCCAACATTTCACCGCTGTGTTCCAAATTACACTGATCATCCCAAAGGGAAACTGCAATTACAGCCGCAAACAAGATGGCTGATTGGCACAGGTGGAGACCCCATCATGCATGGATGACACCATGTTTACCGGCGCTTTTTTTTTTTTTTTTTTCTTTTCAAGAAAAGAAACCATGTGCGGAATCTTGCTTTTGACCTTTTTCCATAGAAGAGGCCTGGCTTCCGGCTAATCTTTTTATTTATCTGAACATTTTGAAATGTTCACTGTACTCATATTCAGTGCAGTATAATGGTTATGGGTTTTTTATTCCATGAAAAAAATCTATAAATGATTCACTTCAATCACATTATATTATATACACTTGCATCACAACAAAAAAAAAAAACAGTAAAATTCTCTACTACTACTCTAGGAAAACAGTGTAAATACTGTTGCTGTAGTTTGAAGATTGGACACTTTAGTCCACTGCAACCCTCCACACAATGCCCCACATTGCCTGCAACTATAAATAGGGTTACTTGGCTGCCCTTCCTCACAAAGCTCCTCCGTGGCTCCTACCCTGTAGCATCGCCTGCCACAGCACCAGGCTCTGATGCACAGCATGCAGCGCTGGTGGTCGACACCCCTGACTTAATGGATCACATCAACCTCACGCACTGCTTCAAGTCGTGCTCTGACTGACCTCCGGCCTGCAAGAACTTTGCTGACTGAGGATGCGATGTTCTTTGTAGTTTGTAATCCTCTAATCTACACTGAAAGCAAACTGCACGCAGGAGTTAGCATTCCAGAGTGCTGGTAATGTTCTAAACAGCATATTTGAGGAACAGCTTTAATGTCCTTGAGAGAATATACAGTGGTAAAAATTGACCAATTTGGGGGGATTTTTGTCGCATATTCCAGTCACTGGCTGTAGCAAACTTGAATGAGGACTGGCCCCTAGAGGACTCGGCTTTGGGGACATTTGGCAAAGTGTGACAGAGAGTTTTTCGCAGGAAGAGGATTAAGTTTCAGACGTAGGGTGAAGTTTGACTTTGACTTTGGCCAGTTAGCAATTATGCAGAAGTTTGCCACATGAGCAGCACAGATAGAACACCTGAAGCAACAAGCTATGAAGTTGTGCCTTGAAATATCATCAACATAATCTAGCAATATAGGAAGCTGGTCATCTGGACCATGGAGAATAGTACCTGACCTCTGGCAGACGTTTCTCAATGTGGTGCGACACAGCTCTCTCTTTACAATCACATTTGTAATCATTTGGATTCTATTGTCTCATAAATATCCAACACAATAAAGTTTAGCAATAATAAGGCCATTCATAATTTCTTGAAAGTAAACCAACGACATAAAGTGAAAGGGCAAAATTATTTCCACAGCATCCGAACGGTGGAAAGAACCTGCAGGTGTGGGCGTTTTGTTTACACCAGAAAAAGAATCAGAACCGGGCTTTGACGCAGACACTTGATGACAGACAGATCACCGATGACAGCAATGTTCGGATTTGACACACTCTGACAGCACAGCATCAGCCTCAGAACCGGGGAGACGAGGGTTCATACACAAGCACACAACAATACTTTGCGATCTATCGATAGAAAGACAAACACTAATTGTTTTGTAGGCAACCCCCCCCCCCACCCCCCACGTTAGTGCTGCTTGGAGTCAGATATGTAAAAACACAGTTGGTTGGCACTCACTTGTTTGTTTGAACCACTCATTTTACATGCCATTAGATCTGAATTGTTAATAAAAATCCGTCTGGAGCTTATTGATTGGTTTTTATTACCTCATTTATTTCATGTCTTGTCTGGATTGCAATGCGCTACTAAATTATTTATGAGGTTAACCACGGTGTTCATTTGCTCTCTCCACACTGCTGAGGCAGTGAAGACGTATAAATGCATTTATTCAGGCTGTATATCGTGACATTCACTTTTGCAACATGCGTGGAACGGAGCAGAAAGGTTGCGTCGTCCTGAAAGTTTAACACCAGAATCCTGTCCTCATGCTTGTTTTGCCATTTATTTGGTTCTGGACAGGTTTACTGTTCAGATTGATTTAATAATTAAGTTAAGTTCAGATATTACAGTTAAGATTAATTTTCACTACATGTGCGCATAGCCGGCCACGCTTACTGCCATAGTTGCTGGTAAGAATCACCTGTATAACCAATAGAAATCACATTGTTCATTGCCCTCTTCAATTATATTGCAATGAATGAACTGCACTTTGATGCTGGAAATCACTGCATGCTCTGCTCTCACCTTTGACAACATCGCCCTCTGCTGGTTACGAACTGCACACGAGGACATGTGATTTGTTTAACGTAATTATTTTTCTTTCAGCAGTAGGCCTAACTGAAGATTTGCTATCATGATTAACAATTATTAATATTAGTTATATTGCCATGGCTTCTGATTTGACTGTAAGATATTGATGCATATGATATGATCTAAAGTACACAAAAACACCAATGGTCAAAGATGGAATACTACATTGTGATGGCACATTCCTTTAAAATGATCCATCATGACGCATTTAGGTTTAGACCATACATTCCTTCAGTGTGTCATCAATGATTGTATCAGAGGCTAAATATACAATACAAAATTGTGCTGTACTGCAAACTCTTAAGCAGCAGTTTTAAGCAATAGTGCAGTGCTGAAATCCAATAATCTAATTTGATGCATTCATCCTCTGCTTGCCGTGATGAATCACCTCTCCAGCAATGAGTGTGTCCCTGCAAATTCATTTTTGATGCGCTTGGAAAATACTAATAAAGTCCAGACGTTCCTACTCCATTTTTTTCTCTGCTCTCCCTCGGTTCTCCGTGAGCTGTTTTTACCTGGAGGCTTGAAACCTTGAACTATTGCAGAATTTATTAGCACTCGTGACAACATGACAAATAGCACAATTATCTGGTTCATCATAATGTTTACCATCATCCATCCTACAACTTCTGCATCATTCTAGAATGGACCACTCTAAAAGGATGAACATGTTGATTTCTTCAGCAGGAAATCTTACGTCTTCCAAATCTTCTGTGTGTTACATAAAGAGGGCAGAAGCGCCAATTGCATTAAACACTATTCACCATAACAAAGGGACCTTGCTACTGAAAATTAGCACCAAATAATGACTTGCTTCATCAATACCCAACAATTAGAGTATAAAATACTTTATTAAGTTGCACTGAAAAGTAAAATACATGTCTCTGCATAACAAAGAAATACTTCAGATAGACTTCAAAAAGGACAACATCAGAATTAGCCATGTTTGCTCAATACAGGTCTCTCTGCCCTCTATGTGTTTTTATTTGTACAAATACATATCAGACAGCCTACTACGTCTTATTGTCTTGTTCATAATTCATTTTGTATTTTTATAATTTATTATTGTATTTTCTTCTTTTTTTATTATCAACCATTTTATTTTACTGGTGAGGAGATTTAGCCGGAGCAAGAGTGAAAACCCGATAACGGCTGAAACACTAGATATTCTCATAAATATCTAAACCTTTCAGTCCACCGCAGTTTTTGACTTAAATTATCTGTCCATCAAAGTATTTCCAGTATTCTCTTTAATTAAAAGTCATCCTGGAGATATACTTTGAATCACTTGAATTTATATCCCTGTTAAATTCAAGCATACTGTGTCTACACTCGACAGCTATCACTCCTCTTGTACACCCAGCAGCAATGTGACATGCGTGGTTTTCTGATGATTGGCTCAAACAAATTGTTTCCACCGACTGTGTGTTGTTTTTTTTTTAACGCTGCCCACCTTCCGTTCAAATGTAAGGTGCGTTCACTGGCTCCACTGATTCATCATCACCAGGTATCAGCTGTGCGGTTGATGGTCCCACGCTGTCATTCTGTCCCTCTCTTCCTCCTCCGCAGAGTCCTCAGAGCTGTTTACCACAGCAGCACTAAGAGAATGGAGCTCCTCCAGAACAGACAGGAGTCTCCCTGACAGGATGCAGACGGGCCAGTGTTCACATTAGTCACGTCTGTGTGAATGTGAGGCTGTGTACTGATGCATGAGGAGTTAGGACACTGCTTACCGTCTGCAGGTACCCCAGAATGACTCCTCTCTGAGGGTCTTTTTCGATGTTCTCTGGCTGCTGCGTGAGCTCTTGTATACTCACTGGTCAACCCTCTCTCAGCAGTGACAGTGGCCTGCAACAGATTCGGGTCATAAGAGGTCGTCAGCAGACGTTTTTCTCAACTGTCTTCACGGCTTAAAGAAGTCTTACCAGCAGTGGTTGTGTGTCTTTCGCCGTCTCCTTCAGTTGTGTATTCTGGACTTCCCTCTTTGTGTGTTGTTGGGTTCCTGTCATTCTGTCCCGTTTCCTTGCCGCCTCTCTCTCAAACTGCCGCAAAGTCATAACTGCAAGAGACAATACAGACAGATTGAAAGCCGCAGGGAAATGCTGCTCGGTACTGTGTCAACAACTCCCATCATATCAGATCACAGTCTGCATTACAGATATGACTTCACCCCCTTATGTTAAGCTGCTGCCGGCTGAGGTAGCATGGTGCTAATCCCGCTACCTGCTTTGGTGTGCGCTCTCTTGGCAGTATTGACTTGAAGCTCCATCTCTCTCAGCTTCTCAGCACAGCAGTCCTCGATCTCAGACACTCTCTCCTGCAGGGCTGAAGGGGAGCAACAAAAGCACCATTCCTCAATACAGCCTCTCTCACACACTGAGGAACAGAATGAGATGCTGTATTTATATGCACCACAGGGTATGAACTGGATTGATTTGCAAATTTTCATTGACAAGCAAGACCACCACAGATCCAAGGTGATTGATTGAATTTCAGATTTCTCGATTATTGCGATGCAACCACATCAAGCGCCGCAGCACAGCAAGGTGGCAGTAGCCTAAAGGTCAGAAAAAGCTCCAGGGAAACATTTGTTCATGTTGTCGTTCGATAAAGTTCCCGCAATTTCAGCCCTGAAATGTAAAGGAAATAAAATCTAATAGTGCGGATTTGATGTCTGCATCATTAAAGCTGCTATAATCAATACTTCTACATTACCAACGGATCCCACGACGACATGTATATGAAAGGAGTAAATCATAATAACAAACCCACAGAGAAAATAACCACCGACTCTACAGTTCCCCTCTACTTTCAGGTCATTGTTTGTTTGTTTTTGGCCCACAACTTTACTGTTTTGGGTCACCAAACGGCAGACGGACACAGTTAGCGACTTGCTAGTGGAAATAGTGGAGCGTTTAGCAGCTAAAGAGACTGGTGGAAATCAAGTGGATAAGACAGACTTGTCCTTTAATGCAGGTTTATAGCTAAGAAGCTGCCAAGTGGCCCCTGAAAAAACAGTAATGGGAAAACTCAGTAACACTCCCTGATCAACTACAGCCAAGGTGCTCTTGAAAATGTCACTTAATCCCTAACTGCTCCGGTGAAGCTACCGAGGAGACCGGAGTGGCCAGGTGTGGCTATATGGAGACGGCAACGAAGGGCATTTCTGAAATAGATCAGGAGTGCTTAGTCTGCTTTCCGTGGATAAGTCGGAGCTGAAAAACACTCATGCGTCTTACAGCAGCCGATGCCTCACCGCGTTCGCTGTGCTCCTGCTGGCTGAGCAGCTCAGAGCGGAGTTTCTCCAGGTTGACCTCGCTCTCCTCCAGCTGGGCCTGGATCTGCTGCAGGCTGCGCTCGGCCTCCTCTCTGCCAGCAGAAGCCTGCTGCACCTCCACCCGGCTCTGCTCCTGCTGCTGCTGCCCCCGCCTCCTGAGTTTGCCTTCATCTGAGGGGGATGTACAAAAAGGTGAACTGAGACACATTCACTGCCAGGACACGGATATACCCGACAGATAATGTGGTATAATAAGGTGTTGGGAGTTGTAAGGGTGCTGCTCACACTGTTCTTTCAGATCAGCCAGAGCTTTCTGGATGAGCTCCGGGCTTCTTTTGAGCTCCTGTGTGAGCTCGTCTCTCTCCTCGCACACCGCACTGAGCTCTGTCTGAAGGTTTGTGATGCTGCAGGGCAACAAAGACAAGATGGCAGCGCAGATAACGGAGCAGAGAGTCAAGCGGAGCATTGGTGTATAACAACGGCAGCCCTAAAACGAATGACTTTGCATACAAATTGTGATGTATTGATGCAGTATATCAGAAAATTATTCTTATTCATAACGCAATATTGATTTCAACCACATTAACCTCCTCTTTAGCCAACCTAACGAAGCTGAAACTGATGTTTCCTGGTTGTATGTCTGTTTTGTAAAGCAATGAGCCTTTATTTGGACAGTGTAAACATTAAGCTTATAATAACAAGTCTTACTAATTCTCTGAATTAGTGCTGAAAGGGTTCTTGGATTCAATGAATATAATTCAATAATAATAATGAATGCTCACCAAATCTGACCAGTAATGATTCATTTTAAATCACTTCACACTAAAACATCTGCCGTTTAAAGCTTTAACAGTGCAAAGAGATGCTCGACTTGCTTCATGTCACAGTAGAACTAGAGGACATCGGGCTGTTGATCATAAGAGGTAAGCCCTTTTAAGAAATCACGTGGGCTCCGAGAATATGCTCATGGTGCATTTGGCTTTATTTTTTGCCATTACTGAGTAAATTAGTGGGGTCAATTCATTTAAAAAAAAAAAAAAAAAAAAGGTAATTGGCAGTTAGTTGCAGAATAATGAAACACCTCATTGCAAAACCTCTTTTAAAGCACACATAGTGACAAATACTGCTGCAGCTATTTAGAAATGATTTGCATTCAGCCTCATGTGAGTACTTTGATTAAAAGGCTATTTCTCTAATGTAGACACTAGGACATAAAAAGAAGGCGTTCTTGCATTGGGTAAAGAGTGTTTATGTGAAACCTCGTACCTGTCAGCAGTTTCCTCCGTCTGTTTACTGGCCTGCTTAGCTTTCTGCAGGGCCACCCTCCTCATGGTCAAACCTGAAAAAACAAAACCATTGTGACTTTATTTACAGGAAACATGCAATTCAAACTGAAGCACTGTGATTTCCCCCCCCCCTCCGTCAGCCTCCTCGTATGACTGCACCTTGTATTGTCTCCACTCGTCTTTTAGCAAACGTTAGCCTCTGGGTGAGAGTGTTGAGTCTTGCTTGAGCTGCGTCCATTTCTGCCACCTTGCTTTCAAATGCCAAACTAAACCTGTGAAGCACAAAAGAGATGTGTGAAAATGAAGCATCGACTGTAATTACACTTTCAACATTGACAAGAACAACAGCTGTGTTTTCCCCTTTTGCTCGTCTGATTTACCAGCTAATCCTGTCAGTTTTGAATTCAGATAAATGCGTTTACCTCCGAACTGCCTCCGTCAGGACTTTTCGTTCAGCCTCTTCTCTCTCGCTGTGGGACTTTAGCTGTGACTTTTCTCGTTGCGTCTGGGCCAAGTCCTGTTTCAATGTCTGGGAAGAAAATCACACGTAAGAAAAGCGCATCGTGACCAGCTGCTGTTCTTAAAACCGTCACCGGTCTTGGAACCCAGCAAAGTTTTCATATAGTCAGCAGCCTGCGCTGTGGTAAAAATGCATGAGGGTTCATCCAAACCCTAAGCAGCACCAAATTTATTGTGCATCATCGAAATTTCGGACAGCCGCGTAAATCACGTCACTTGCTCTCTGGTACTAACCTCCTTTCCCACCCTCTCCAGGTCCAGCTCAGCGATCCTGTCATCTAGACCGTGTTGGAGCACACTAGCGCGGTGCTGCTCCTGCTGGAGCTGCTGCTCAAGGAGTTTGACCTAAAAAAAAACACAGCACACCAGTACCACACTTTAAACACAATGGACATATTTCTTTTACCGTGGTATATAAATAGATGACGATTTTCATACTTTTGAAAGAACTTTATCCTTTTCTCCTCTTAGTTCAATGTCCTTGGAGCGAAGCTGGACGCACAACTTAAACACTTTGTCTCTCCAGAGCCGAAGCACTTGAAGGCCTTCAGATTCAGTCCTCACAAGCGGGTCTGTGGAGGCCTTCAGAAACACATTCATGTACAGTAAATGCACACACACCACTTCAGCAAATGCTTCATACGAGCATGGGGAATTATTGCACGCCAATTAGTCTGGTTTTCTAATGCTTTTTTTTTTTCTCCTTTCTTCCAACAGCTATATTAATAAACCATCAGAGAAGAGTTTTCAAGAAAGTCTGTGCGCTCAAATTCATCACCGTGCAACGAAAACTAAACAATATAAGATCTTTGACGATTATCGATCTCAAGTAATCTTCAAGTTTTTTATTCAAAACTAACCAAAACGCATGAAAAACACATTAAAAATGGGGAAAAACGAAATGTATAAGTCACCTGCAGAGTGCTACTGTACATTATATGATCGGTAGCTGCTTAGTCTACATAGGAAGCCTGCAAGCAGCAGTGCTACTGTTCATCATGTGTCATCAGCGTATGCATGTACGATGTATTAAGTGACACTCACCTTCTTCACTATTTTCTCTTCTTGGAGGGCGAGTATCTCACTCACAGAGTTAAACCTGACAGTCAAAAGCTCTGCGGTCGTCTGAAGAGCGGCTTTCTCTCTGTTCAACCTCTACAAAATGGATAATGTTATTTAACAAACATAAATGGGATGAATTGCTATACTGGGTATATTAACTCGTTTGATTATTCCTTTAACCTGATTTAAAGAACAAGAAATTCCATTTTTTTCCTGTGCAATTACTTCACAGTAGGCTGATTGCAATCAATACGGTTTGGATTGTATTCACCTGAACTGCCTCATTTAATTGTTCCTTCTCTCCTTTCTCCGGGGCAAGCTGGCCGATGTAATTTCTGAGGCTGTGCAGTGTAGCTGATTGTGTCTCAAAAGCTTGTCCCATTTGGCTGAAAAATAAACATCCCCCGCCAAAAAAAAAACACAGTGAATTTGACATCAGAGTGCAATGCATGTGTAGCTCTCCTCAGTTTTAGATTGAACGTGGCACCTTAAATGTTCTTTCAGCCCATCTCTCTCAGCAGATACCTCCACCAACGTGCTTTTCAGCTGCAGCACTTCTGTGGTCATCGATTGAAGTCTGTCCTGTAGTTCCCCGTTTGTGTTTCTCGCTGCACCCACCTCTGCACAATGGGAAGCATGCAACTGTAGCAGCTGAAAGTGAGGAAAGCCAAAGAACAGACATTTTAAGACACAAATAATGATACATTCTCTCATTGACATGGATTCTTGGATGCAGGGCCTTGAGCCGACATCACTTAAATCAGTATGTACAAAGTTTATGAATTTGCCACAGACCTGCACCTCGTGCTTCTTCTGCATTTCCTCCAATTGTACAGACAGTGTAAGAATCTGTGACCTGCCCGTTTGAGCCTTTAGGGTGAGCTCCTGGGCTTCCTCTTTGCTCCTCATTACATCTCTTCTCAGCTCGGTAATTTCTTCCCCAGACTCATTCTTTAGTCTTTCAAGCTGCAAGAAACACAACATGTTTAGAATATATTAAACTAATCATCTTAAACTTACACAATGAAAAGTGCCAGGTGACTGTAAGCTATTATTAAGACTACCAGACTGTACTAAAAACATCAGACTACAGCCTGCAAAAACGAGTTACACGATGCAAGTAATTCTCAGATGATCTCTGTCAACATCCGTGTTGAAAATGAAATGTTTTGTTTGTAAATCGAATTACCTGTGAGCTTATTTTCTCCTTCTGTGCACTGCTGTGAGTGAGCTCCCTCCTGATTTGGCTGAGTTCAGTCTTAGCCCGACATAGCTCTTCCCGCATTGCTTCCAATTCGTGGCTCGGTCTGTTGTACGAAGATGATGCCATGTTAAATTTATTCAAAATAAATGACTCATCATCGTTAATCTCCGAAATGATTAGTTACGAAATGTAAAATGACTCGATTGTGTAACATCTTCTACCTGTTCAGGGAGCTGTCTCTCATCTCTTCCCTGTGTCTCCCTGCAGTCTCCTTCAGCGCCTCCACCTGACCCTTTAACCTCTCAGCTTCGGCCTTGTGCTTCTCTGCCTCCAGACGCCACTCAGTCTCCCATCTGGACCACTGCTCTCTTCTCTCTGCACATCTGTGTTTGAGGGAATGGAGCTTTTTAGGCAAGTTACCCAACATGCCACTCAACTGTTGGACAATAATGGTATTTCTGAGTATATAAAATATATTGTGGGATACCTGACCCTAAGGTATGACTCGTGATCCACAGGGTTCCTTCCTCTTATGCGGTCTCCTTGTAACATCGTGATCCTCTGATTTTCCCTCCTCAGTTCCAAGATTTCCTGTTGGGCCTGTGTGATGGCGAGCCATGGATTGGTGGGACTGGGATCCCCTGGTTGTGATGAAGTTAGGCCTGGGTTTATCCAGGAGATGGGTGGCGGTGTCCCTGCGACTTGAACGCCTCTGTGTGCTCCAGCAGACTGCACACTGGATGCAAAATGCGATGGTGGTACCAGGTCCTCCTGGAGATTCCCTATAAAGCATGACATGTTTAAGTGTGTGTGCATGCCTCACCTGAGCTAAATGTGTAGTACTAGCGTCTCTGTGTCCTGGTTCGGTATTTTACGGCGTGACGCAATTTCCGGTCTTTTCGCAGTCATTTTCTTCGGCTATCGCCATCAAAGTGTAAGTAATATTAATTAATACATATTAAATAATATAATTTTAACAATTAAAACGATATTTAGTTCGAAATGTAATTAGTTAAACTTATGTTTATAACTTACACGATCATTTTTAAATCAGTATTTTAAGTGCATTTTTATTGAAATGTTAGCAAAAAAAACTGTCCGGACCAGGAAACAATTCCGCTATACCAATGTAATATTCATGTTTACTAGTTAACGTTAGTCTTTGCAGACTGGACTTTTGAGAAAGTTACCAAACCACATGACAACTTCCCTCTCCTAGCGTTAAATGCAACATACAGTATCCTTGTTGATAATTAACGTGGGTTGGAGAGCTGACAAGTGCAGACTAACTTAGCGGTAGTTAGTGTGAAGTTAGCTAGGTTAGCGTTACATTGTAGGCTAACGTTAGCTAGCATTATCTTGAACTCAACATCTGACTTCAGGTTAGGAGCAAATGTAACGTTAAACCAAAACTGCAGTGAGAAGAATAAACTTACTTGAAACCGTGGATGACGTAAAATCATCGGGAACTATAAACCTTTCTTTTCCGACATTATGTCTCTCCATGTTCAAAAGAGAAGCTGTCACTGGAAGACAAAACTTGTAAACAAGACAAGGTGCTCTTAGGTGCTGCTTTACGTTTATTATCCCGCTAAACAAGTTGATGGTGGTTGCCTTAGTTAGGTTACAACCACAGGTTACAACGGTTACTCTCTGCTTTAGGCTATTTCAGGAGGCAAACTTCTGATGCTCAATTTACACGTCGGTTAAACTGCAAATACCATGTTTATATCTATGAACTTAACGCCAATGAAATGATTTATCGCGCAAAACTGCCAAACATTACAAACGCGCAGTGCATCCTGGGAAAGTGGAATGTCTTGACATTATCCTCCCCGAGTATTGTCTTGCAGGATGTTATTTCCCTCAGGCTTCTCGTGTCTCGCTACCGTCACAAGAACCCTGCGTTGGCCTTCATCATACATATCGGCTGTCGCCCAGTTTGCGGGAGCGTGTCAAGTCCACTACATAACCAGGGTAACAGCTTAACTGAAAGACTGAACTCAGGACATTAAAAGTCCAAAAGCAAAGAGTATTGTTGCACAGGGGTGGAGCACGTGAGTTTGATTGACACACGGTATTCTACAATAGGAGGTGTGTGATGGGTATAATTTCACACATATGTCAAATTGTATGTCAAATTAACAATGGGGAATGTAGCACTTTATTCTTCTGAATGTGGTTCCATTAGGCATTTTACTAAGAGATATTATTGTGATGATTAGTGGGAAAGAGACTGTATAATTGCACCTAATGAAGTTATTGAAAGTAAGCCATTCCTTCTTTGCCTAGGACTTCCTCACCTCATGAACACCCAGGGGTATCTGACAACCAGACCATTTGTGCTTAATATTCCAGTCCTGCAGAAATGGGAGCACAGAGCATGCGGGGCAGCGAATAAGTGCAGCTTTAAATGGTAATTGGTTATAATTTGGTTATGTAACTGAATATGTTGTTTGAGGTGCATATATAAAGATCTTACCTCCAACTCTAAAATTAAAAGCATATGACAAATTTACATTTGCATATTTTGACAGATTTCTGTCCTGCAGTGATGCACATTTTGCGCACACTGCCTTTGTGCTGTAAATCTATAAACTGCAAACATGAGCTCACCTTCAAGCAAAGGAATGCATCTATTGCTTGTTGTACGATTCAGAAGACTATAATCACATGTTTTATATAGTTATATCTTTTATTTTACTCTGTTGCCTTCAGGAGTCACTTCTGTTTGTCTTGCTGTATATCCTCCTCTCCACAGCTGCCATGATCCACATTCCCCCTGGGGTTCATTAAAGTTTCATATATTATAATCTAATCTATTTATGGTGTATTCAATGAACAAAGACACATTTTAGTTTGATTAATTCACGTAAATTACCATATATATCGATACAACCTGACAAAACAATAACATAAAATAAATAAAGGATAGAGAGGTTGGCTATATAAATACCTCAACAAATAACTAAAGATATAAAAATGCAGGTACATTGCCAAGACAGATAACCAATGGCATCATGAAAGACTGGACCTTGTAATGTAGTGAAGGGATTGTTGGAGGAAAACAGTGGGAGTGCTGTGCATTATTTGGGCATATATTTTATCCTCTCAGCTCTCCAAAGACACTGCAGCAGTCCTGTAGAATAAAGCAGAGGAAAAGAAGGATCAGAGCCGCCGGGAATCCAGAAAACAAAGACAATACTGACCCTTTTCAGAGAGAGAGCAGAATTAAGATGCAGTTATGTTGCTTTGAACAATACTTAAGAGCTAATCAAGGCGGACCGTTACTGCCTATATAATCTGAATCAGCTTTATTGGCCATGTCTGCGTACGCATATGGGAATTTGACTCCGGTTTTTACATTGCTCTCAACGTTCATACACAGAATATACAAATAAAGAAAATTAAAGCGCTTAGAACACATGGCAGATAAAAGGAGCATTTTGATAAAGGCAGAACTCGAATTGAGACAGGTTTGTGAATTTTCAACAAAAATGCAAAAACAAAACGCTGCAACAGAAGCTCATTTAGGCCACTTGTAACAGCATTATTGTTTCAGTCACTATCCAGTACTCATGACCACACGAGGCCATGTCAGTAGAACATCTTTGAGGACAACTAAAAGTACTGCCCTGGCAGACTGATCCCTGACCACACACACTAGCTTTTTGTACATGTAGCGGGGCAAATATATGCAGAAAGTACATAAATGATGCCTGACAGACTAACAAGACTTTGCTATGCTCATGGGAACAGTCCTCTCAACAGTCCTGGCCATGTCAGTTAAGGTGTGAATCTTTTAATTATTACAGACAATGAAAATATATTTCTTATCCTCACTTAAGAGCAGTGGATATCCTGGCACACCGTGGCCACGGAAACTGCAACATCTTTGTCCCTAATCAAGCTGACTCAGCCCACACTTACTGGTTTAAGTGGAGAAACTGTCCATGACTGCAAATATGTGGACTGGAAATTGTGTCTTTAATTAAAATGTCTTCCTCTCAAAATGTGCTTGTTGAACTCTTCCCATGCCACAAGGGTAATACTGGTAAGTCCAGTACACACACAGAAATATGCCCTCATTAAAAAGCGTAGTGGATTCATAAAGGCCCTGCTAAAACCACAGGTGACCTGGAATGTATTATCCAATAAGACTAACTTGCTTAAAGGAAGCTAATCATCTCCATGCATTTACATAGGAGCTATATTTGTTTTAGAAACCCATTTTGTGAGTGTATCAAACAGATCTTGTTTCCTGAATGAGCGTCATGAGACAATGGGCTATTTGTCTCTGTAAAAGTGTTCCTTGCTTTGGTAACCCAGCTTGAAACAGACATCACGAGGCGGCATCGCTATACTGTAAAGACGATGCCTAAGCTCAAAGCACAGCAGTTCAGCCATCGCCACTGGGCATTATACAAAAAGCGTATGTGAGAAAAAAAAAAATCTTTGCTCTGTCAGCAACTGTCTGGACTTAACCTCATAGTGTTAGTAGATTTCTAGTGTTTGGTTGGGGCAGATTTCAGTGTGACTTTCACATTTTGATTCCAAGTGCAACTTAAGAATGCAACAGATGAGCTCAAATCCCTAAATAAAGAAATGTACTTTATATTAGCAGCTAGTAGGATGTAGAAAGGAGCACAGGAAGCAACAGAAACAACACAATCATCCCAATGCTTTTCAGATTCTAAGATAGATGTGTTTCATAGAGAGAGAAGCAACTTTCGCTTTCCTGCAATGGACTAATTTCCTGCCACTTGTGATCATTTTTGTCTCAAAGCAGTTCCCTTTTGTGGTTTAATAGGGATGGGCTTTCCATACCAGTACAATCTGCTTGTTAAACAAGTGTGGGTCTGATGCTTCAGAGCTGACATTGCAAGGCTCTTAGCAGTGCTTTTTATTCCCACAGTGATTAGAGAGCAGACTTTTCATTAGTAAATCCTCATTGTTTAGACCTTGCTACAAGGAGATGAGTTGATTATGAATCTAATTTGAAATACATTTCACTGCCTGTGGGAAAAACATATTGGAGGATGGTTTGCAATTTTTGTCTTATGGTTTGTTACAGTTTGCTTAAATGCCAATTAAATGAAGCCTAATATATTCCGAGTGGACATCTTCTCTCCACGCGGGCCTGCACACTTCTTCGCCTCACTTGCTTATCTGGTGAAAGGTATAGATGGGTTTTCGCTCGAGCACAAAGCGCGTGAGTACGTGAGCGCTGTCCGGTGTTACGGTGGTTACTTAATGGTTTCAAAATTGGGATTTTGTCGGTGTGTTGGAGGGTGAATTTAATGCACTGGCGTAACCCGGTGGTTGCCTAGTAACGCGCTGGCAGTGGGCGCCGTAGGGAGAGCTCTATGGTGGGCGCTCCATTAAAACCGTTGGCGCTCCTGACCTTGGCGTCGTATATGCGCAAAGCACACAAGACCGTGCAAAGCAGGAGATAAGAGTACAGATCCGTGTGTTTGATACCGAAACCGGAGGAAATAGATTCACACTCGGCACAGCCCCCCATTGTCTTATAGCGACACCGACGGGCATGGTATGGAGGAAATCTCGAGATGGAGCGCGCATCAGCCTCTGTAAAAGCAGGTGAGTTAACCTAATGATTGTGTGTTGTGTTGGTTTTTTTTTCCGAGGGACGAATCTTTGTTCAGATTGATTATACTTAAACTGATTGTTTCATTGAACGCGAGGCTATTGCCCGCTGATATACTGTGGTGCAGAATGTGTTGGCTCGCTATTATTTTAATTTTATCCAATATTACACCGTCCTAGACCCAGATTAAATAATCTTCACAGTCACAACGTGAGGCAGTACACACACACACACACACACACACTATAGCACTTTGTCGGTGCTATCTGGGCTGTGGCTTGTTTTTTTTTCTGTGGGTCTGGGTCTTTGCATCCATTTATAAAGGACTAACCATTATGTTGAGTGCTACCTGCAGGTTCCCTATAAGGTAGTCTCCTCTGCGTCAATCCCTGCTTCTCTTTATTGCACTGCTAAATTAGGGGGATTTGGGGAATCCACCGAAGCGGTTTTGATCCACACCAGTCGAAATACAAGGGCATTGGAGCCCAGCAGCCTATACTGTTGTCTGACATACTATAGGCTCCTTCTCAAATGCTTTCATGTCAAGGGCCCCCAGGCTACCAGAATGTAATCGATAAGATGTTGTCCCAGAGATTTTATTAGTGGTGAATTGGTGTTGAATTGTGTGCCTGTCGATGATGCAATGGCCGGAGAGAAACATGATTATATAGCAATCATTCTAATAGGTCTGTAACCACACCAATTAAAGGATTTGGTCCCAGAAAAAAATAATACTTTTGACCCAAACCACCTCTGTGATGTGTAAATATCTGTCTAAATAATATGTTATTATAATATGTTATGATTGTAAAACATCTTGGTTTTTGCACTTATCAATCAGTTACTGAGTTATTGCAAGCACTTAATTGGCAAGATATATTTCACCCATGTTTCTTACCTGTTGCTGGGCATGTTGCCAGTCTAAATTGCCCCAAAAACTTGCAGTGTATCAAACTCAACTGAGTGATGGCTCATTTTTATTACATGGCCCATTTGGTGTAAGCTATAAAGCTTTTATCCACATCTGTCCCATCGCAGACCACAAGTTGGAAAAAGAATACTCTGCAGCCCAGTTGAAGGCAGTATTCAGCTGCTTTGGCAGCCTGCAGAACAATCAGTAAAACTGAAGTATATCTAAAGATTATACCTCAGCTTTGCTCCGATTATTTAAATTAGAACTTTGTTTTAATGTCCAATAGCAAAACATCAACAAAAAAACACATTTATTGATACTAATATCATGAATACATGTGAAATTTAAAAGGAAATGCCCCTCATTTAATGAATTCATTATTAGATTCTTTGATCTACAGCAGCCCCAGTGACAGGGCTGCTTCGTAAGCTACAGACAACAAACACAGTGTCATTGGTGTTGCCCACTGTACTGTAACTGCTAATTTGATAATTGACGATTTCACAGCAGGTTTTGTGAACAGTGAGGATTCATACCTCCAAATGATTTATTATCATTGTCAGTTCCAAACTAGGAGATGTGCTCCGATTTATTAAAAATCTGGTTCTCTATCTTTTCCATTTGAATGTCTCGGGAGCCGTACATCATTGTCACATA